ACTGGCCCCCTCGCAGGGCCACCTGCTCGGCCCGGCCCCCGGGGATGCTGCCGGACACCCCGGGGCTGGGGCAGAAGGGGATGCTGCCACCCCCTGCCACGTCCCGGGGGCCCTGCATGGAGGGCTCAGCCCTGCCTGGGAATTGCTTCATTAATTAATTTGCTCTGCAGCATCATGGGGGGCCTTAGGCTGCCCCAGGGACCAGCCCGTCCCCATGGACCATCCTCCTCCTCCTCCTCCACAGCCCCCCTTGCCCCCCTCTTCCCCCAGCTCCTATTTCCCCCGATTTTCTGCTTACTCTCAGACTTAACCGGCTCCACCTGCCAGCAAGCACCAGAAAATTGGAGCAATCCCCGTGGCCCCCAATTTGGCCACAGCTGCGCTTGGCCCATTGGCGGGGCGGGGAGGGAAAACAGCCCTGGGCAATATTTCTGGGCCATACACAGTTTGTCGGGACGGCTTTTCCTCCCCCCATGGGAACCCCATTGCTGCTCCGGGGGGATGTGTTTAACGGGGTCTGGTTGTCATTAAGCCCCCCCGAGCTTTGAGGGTAGAGCACGCGTGTGCCTGGGTGCTCACGCATCCTCATTCCAAGGGCAGAATATTTGGTTCCCACAAAACAGGGTGAGACCGGAGCAGAAACATGCTCGCCTTTGGCAGCTCCTCCTTTGGCTCGTTGGGAAAGGGGGTCTCCAGGGGGGACGGTGCCGGATGCCCGCTCCCCAATCCCGCCCCCCTGCACCACAAAGCCAGGGCTGGGGCTGCCCACAGGGTTTCCTCCTCCGCCCGCAGCCACGCGTGGGCGACGTCCCCCGGGAGCCCCAGGATGTGCATTGGGTGCCACTGGCCATTGCGGGGACCCCCGGGACTGTCCCCTAGCTCTCAGGGGACACCGCAACGCGGTGCTGGAGCCCTGCAAATATTGACCCAAAGGCCAAGGGGGGAGCAGGGGAGGAAGGTGACGGCTGCAAAACCCCAGGGGAGATGGTGATGTGGCAGCAAGCGGCAGCGCGGGCAGGGAAGCTGCCTGCCCTTTGTGTGCCCGCTCCCCTAATTGAGCCGTTATTGTTCCTGCCTTGGGTTTGGCTTGTGGGGGTTTTTATTAATTGCGGGGGGGGAGGGGCGGCGGGGGCACACAACCACATACAGCTGCACAAACCCGTGCACAACCACGCACGGCCATGCACAACCATATACAGCTGCTCAAACCCATGCACAATGATGTACGGCTGCACAAACCCATGCACAACCACATACGGCTGCACAAACCCGTGCACAACTATGCACGGCTACACACAACCATGTACAGCTGCACAAACCAGTGCACAACCATGCACAACCACATACAGATGCACAAACCTGTGCACAACCACACACGGCCGCACATGACCACGGAGAGCTGCACAAACCCTTGCACAACCATGTATAGCTGCACAAACCCGTGCACAACCATGCACGGCCGCGCACGACCACGTAGAGCTGCACAAGCATGCACAGCCGTGCACAGCCACACGCAACCATGCAGAGGCGGGCACAGCTTTTCACAACCACACACAACCATGCACAACGATGCGCAACCACACACACGACTGTGCACAACCGCACACAGCTCTGCACGGCTGCGCACAACCGTACACAACCCTTTGCAACTGCACACAACTGTGTGCATCCGTGCACAGCCGCGCACAACCGTACGGAGCCACGCGCAACCGTGCACAGCTGCCCAGAGCCGTGCACGGACCCCATACGGCCACGCACAGCCACGCACGGCCCTGCACAACCACGCACAACCACGCACAGCCCTGCACAACCACGCACAGCCCTGCACAGCCCCGCACAACCATGCACGGCCCTGCACAACCGCACACAACCACGCACAACCGTGCACAACGGCAGCGGGCGGGGCCGCTCCCCCAACCCCCGCCGGGGGGGGGGAGGGGGGAGCAGCCCCAAACCCCCCGATGCGGGCACCCCCGGGAGCTCCTAGGCGGTCCTAGATAACCCTAGATGGTCCTAGGTGGTCCTAGACAACCCTAGGTGCTCCTAGGCGGTCCTAGATAACCCTAGATGGTCCTAGGCGGTCCTAGACACCCCTAGGTGGTCCTAGGCAGTCCTAGATAACCCTAGGTGGTCCTAGACAGTCCTAGATGCTCCTAGGTGGTCCTAGACAACCCTAGGTGCTCCTAGGCGGTCCTAGATAACCCTAGATGGTCCTAGGCGGTCCTAGACACCCCTAGGTGGTCCTAGGCAGTCCTAGATAACCCTAGGTGGTCCTAGACAGTCCTAGATGCTCCTAGGTGGTCCTAGACAACCCTAGGTGCTCCTAGGCGGTCCTAGATAACCCTAGATGGTCCTAGGCGGTCCTAGACACCCCTAGGTGGTCCTAGGCAGTCCTAGATAACCCTAGGTGGTCCTAGACAGTCCTAGATGCTCCTAGGTGGTCCTAGACAACCCTAGGTGCTCCTAGGCGGTCCTAGATAACCCTAGATGGTCCTAGGCGGTCCTAGACACCCCTAGGTGGTCCTAGGCAGTCCTAGATAACCCTAGGTGGTCCTAGACAGTCCTAGATGCTCCTAGGTGGTCCTAGACAACCCTAGGTGCTCCTAGGCGGTCCTAGATAACCCTAGATGGTCCTAGGCGGTCCTAGACACCCCTAGGTGGTCCTAGGCAGTCCTAGATAACCCTAGGTGGTCCTAGACAGTCCTAGATGCTCCTAGGTGGTCCTAGACAACCCTAGGTGCTCCTAGGCGGTCCTAGATAACCCTAGATGGTCCTAGGCGGTCCTAGACACCCCTAGGTGGTCCTAGGCAGTCCTAGATAACCCTAGGTGGTCCTAGACAGTCCTAGATGCTCCTAGGTGGTCCTAGACAACCCTAGGTGCTCCTAGGCGGTCCTAGATAACCCTAGATGGTCCTAGGCGGTCCTAGACACCCCTAGGTGGTCCTAGGCAGTCCTAGATAACCCTAGGTGGTCCTAGACAGTCCTAGATGCTCCTAGGTGGTCCTAGACAACCCTAAGGTGATCCTAAATGGTCCTAGAAGGCATCCCATGCAGTGAGCAGGGTGGGAACAACCACTAGGAGGAAAGAGCCTTTGCACCTGGAAGGTGCCGAGGACCGAGGTGACCCTGCCCGTGAACCAGCCGGAGGGAGCTAGTGGAGCTGGGCAAGAGCCCCTGTCTCCCAAATTGTCCCCCAAACTCAACACTGAGGTTCACTTGAGTTGCATTTCTCTCTCCCCCCAGGTGGTAGAGGCTTATAAGCAAGGTCTCAGCCCAGCCGTTGGCTTTGAGCTCAACCCCTGGCTGCTGTGTCTCTCCAACTACCGGGCCTGGAAGGCTGGGTACCACGGGAAGGTTTCCTTCCTGAAGAAAGATCTGTGGAAGGTAACGGCGTCCTGAGGGTCTGGCTGTGCTCAGGGCTGGCCGTAGCTAGGGCAGGGCTTGGTCTGCATCTCCAGACAGCCTTTGGTGATGGTTGCTTGCTCCTTCCCCAAGCCACGCTGCTCCTGGAGGCGGGAGAACCATCCTCCTTTCCAGGGGAACGCCTGTGGCTGGCTGCTGGTCACGCAGGCAGCAGTGCTCCTTCTCGGGGCAGCTTTGAGAAGAGGTCGTAGGTGCTGCTGGCTTGTGGTGGCCTTCATGGGCGTGCTGAGGATGCTGGAGGCGGGTGTTTCGCAAGAGGCACTGCTTTCGCACCCAGCTCCCCGTCACACCGGCATGTCCCCGGCCCAGATGTTGTGGGGCATCTTTGCTTCCTCCGAGGTTCAGAAGATCTCCCGCAAAGCCTTTGGCTGCTTGAATGGTTCCCCCCGCTGCTCCCCTCTCTGCCGGCTGCTCCTTTCATTCCCCTTTTCCTTCTCTTTTAAGGTGAATCTTTCTGATTGCTACAATTTGATCGTGGTTTCCCCTTTTCCTTCTCTTTTAAGGTGAATCTTTCTGATTGCTACAACGTGATCGTGTTCCTGGCCCCCAGCGTGGTAAGTCGGTCCCTGGCACCCCGACTTGGCTGAGCGAGCTCAAGGGAGGGTTTACTTAGAGAGGATCTCGGACAGTGGCAAAGATAATAAGAGACCAGAGGTGAAGAAAATCCCAGGGTTGCTCATGCTGGAATGAAAAGCCAAACAGGAGGATGTTTTCCAGCAACGCAGCCCATTGCAGCTGATGGATGTGACCCTGTCTGGGACCCTCTTTCATGCGTCTTCCCAAGGGAGTGCAGCCCTGGGAGCACCGTCCCCATGTCCCCCACGGTGCTGGCTACCCAGCACTCTTCCCGGTCACGGGTGCCCGTTAAGGTCCACGCTCCGCCGTCGGGCTCGGTAAGGCAGAGCAGGGAGTCTTGTGGAGCGCCGAGACCTGCAGCAGCCACAGGCATTGCTGCGAGCCAGCGGCGCGGGGG